TAACGCGCCTCGTCTGCCTCCAGCTGCCGCAGCCCAGCGGGACCGGCGCAAGCCGGAGGAGCTGCGGTGCCCGCACGGCGCTTGCCGCTGGGGGGCTGTAGGTTAAGAGTGCGCAGCGTGAAAGAAGGGAGGCTGACCTGTTGTTTACAGAAAATCGCTGCCCAGCGAAAAAACTGTCATGACAGAATGTCTCTGTTCTTCCGCTCGAGTGTTTCAGGGAGAGGCCCTGACCCCCGGACACTTACACAGCCCTGGGTGTAAATAAAGGTGACAACGGGAGGCCCAAAGCATCACTGGGTCACAGCGAACTATTACCAGTTGTATTGCTCACCTGCATATACCAGATACCACTTCTAAGCATGACTTCTAATTTGTTTTTCAGTATTACTGAACGTTAGTGATGTGTTGGTACCTGATAAGATACATTTCCTCTCTCAAAGGATTAATAATGCAGTAGTTACTGTGCTTGTTTTCTTGCACTTAAGTAATAGCATTTAAAACAAACTTATTAATTCACTATTATGGAGCTGCACTGCAGAAGCTTGGTGGAGATGAGGTCACTAGAACAGCTTCTAGGTGTTCTTTTTGATACCTATTTCCCACCACACACTGGGTATTTCTTGCATTTAACTTTGTTTCTTGCATTTCCAGACAAAGCTTCCCTCTTCTGGGCAGTATTAGGAGACGCTGCCTCTCGGGTGTGAACGGACGATGGCACCAAATGGCAGGCATGGGGCTGGGAGTGGCCTTGTGTGCAGTCCCGGTCGTGGAGGTAACGTACCAGGAGTGAGAGACTTACAGCACCCACTCGTTAGAAGCAGTTTCATATAGAAACCCACTTGTTTAGCATCTTACAAACTAGTACTTACCCTCAGAATTGTATTCCCTTGTGGGGATCACAGGGGTTTAAGCTGTTAATCATTAAGGAAATGAGAAAGGACAATGTCTACCTTCAGGTGCCTTGTTTTGCAGTGAGGATCGGGCTGACCACCTAACAGCGGTGCTTTTCCTCACCGTTACTTGTTACTACTAACATCCACAGGAAGGTCAGTGTAAAGAGGATGCAAATGTCTTGTCTTTCAGAAACAGAACTCGTCTTCTCTCAGCAACGACGCCTTGATTAAAAGAGCAGTTTCCTTGGTAACAGACAGTACTGCTACGCTCCTCTCTCAAACAACGTACGCACTGATTGAAGCGCTGACAGAGTACACCAAGGTAAGCCGAGAGATTACACACTTTGCCAGCAAGTCAGTACTGGGAATACTAAATGGTTTGGCACTAACTGCACCCATTAAACCACACTTAAAATGGACTTTGGGGGGGTTTTAATGAATTTTAATACAAGAGGTGTGGGGGTTTGAAGATGTCGAGTCCCTAGGAAGCCGTGGGGTAGGGCTCAGTGTTCTGCTACACCAAATGCAGAAGTTAATTTTAGCTTCGTTAGACTGTTGCTTTGAGCTTGAACTTAAGCTGAAATGACCCATATCTCAGAACTGGGGCTAAAGAAACTCCTGACACCTGTGTACGGAGTCAGTAGGATGCACCACCTTGTTATTTAACTTCTGTGCCCATTTTGAAGGCCGTGAACTTGAGTCTCATCAGAAGAATGGACTGAGCCATATTTAAGGCTGAAACAACGAGATACAGTTTTAATTTTATAAATAAGTGCCAATTTGAGTATTTGCGTTCCAGTTTACTTCCTTATTAGCACGACAAGTATATAAAGAGATGGTATCCACAGCGCTGCTGTGGGCAGACAGCGAATGCTGTCAGCGCCTCCAAAACTGCCGTGAACTTGAGAACAAAGCCCCTTTGGAACCGTTTTGCTCATCAACACTGAGACGTCATCGGAGATGTACGGATTGTCGCGTAATTGTCTGAAATGATTCCTTTGCAGGCAGTTTACACGCTGGCGTCTCTCTACAAGCAATATGCAAATCTTCTCGGGAAGATGAATTCAGAAGAGGTGGATGCAGTCTGGCAGGTGGTAATAGGAGCCAGAGTTGATGTAAGCAGCCGCCTCCCCTCAGTCAGCTGTCTGCCTCTTAAACCTGCACTCAGAAAGTTCTCGTCTCACTTGCTCACCTTTTCACAAAGGTACTGCTTAGAAGAGCATTCAGGTGCTGTGACCTCAAGTAAAGCAGTACTTTGTTCTGCTCCTAGATGACCACAAAACAGCAGGAAAAAAACCTACGGCTGGAATCCAGCTGGATGACAGCGTTACGTCTGTCAGAGATGGCGGCAGAAGCTGCCTATCAGTCAGGTAAGCACAAGCAGGACGGTGTAGGAGAGACTCTCTGCCAAGTCATGAGGTTCAGAGTGGCCCCCCTTGCTTTTTCAGCTTCCTCTCAGAGAGGAGTCTGAGTGTGGATGGATCCAGCCTTAGCCCCCGACTGTAAAGAAGAGTTCAGTCCTTAGGTTCTGTCAGAGTCGCTTTATTTCAGCTTGAGCTGGGACCTTCCGGGGGGGACACCCCTCCGTTGTTTCCCTGGGTCTTTAAGGCCTCACAGTCTGTTACACGAGGTGTTCACACACCTGCACATGCAACTTGCACCGACTTTTGGTCCAATTAGTTTAATAGTCGCTCTTCCTTTATGATGGTCGGAGTAATAGCTTTCAAATTCTAGCTGTTCCTGTAGTTTTACCACCCTTCTGTCTTATCTGCACCTGGATCTCCTCTGTTTTCTGTTGGCTTCAAATGGAACAGTTTCTCTGGTTTTTTTAAAGGTCTTTTCTTTGAATTACAGCTTTGGTCCAGCTTACCTCATTGTACAAGGCTCTCGGTACTTCCCCATTTGACTATGCACAAATTCAGCTGAAGTTCAGATAGTTTGTGGCCTAAGGCCTCAGCACTCCCATCACCCATGCTAAGCAAAGCAAATCAAGTTTCAATTCAACCTAATATTAAGCAATCACACAATTAATTGTAATATTCTACAAGTAACTATTTTAATCCCCAGCACAGACACACTGAGCATTTCTTTCCCCTAGCATTTAGGCAGTATTTACTGAACGAGAATGGGGCTGAGAGAGACACAGGGTGTACATTCAGGTAACACCAATTGACAGCCAGTGCCTGGTTTTTAGAGGTGCTGAGAACTTTTGCTTTTTTATTGGCTGCCAGTCTAGTAGAAGTGTTCTGAGAACTAGGCCTGGAGACTTCACATGCGGTTGAGATCAAGACCCATCCGTGCCAAAACATGTTTGAGGGAAGCGTTTAGTCATTTTTAAAGGCAGTGTTCGAACGCGGTTCTGGGAGCCACGGAAATAAGGCTGCCAAGGGGGTCCAGCAGGTCTTTCTAGCTGGGTTCACTCTTCTTAACCTCAGGAAAGATACTGATTTTGGTCTTTTCTCCCCGTATACACACTTTCACAAAATGTGGAGAGACGTGATAGCTCTGAGATTGAGTGACGGGCTGACTTACGGTATGTCAGCAAAGTTATTGGAGGGGAGAAGGGGAGGAAAGCAATGAACATACAGGGATGCCCTGACTCTGTAAGTGCCTGAAAAAGACACAGAATCTGGAGGAGCAGGGGGGGGAGAAGGGTTTCTGAGTTCAGCAGCGCCACAGACGTTCCCGCTGCTGCGAGGGGCCAGGACAGGACACAGACTGACCGCTCCTGGCGCACGATGACTGGGCTGGGCTTAGCTCTCAAACCCACGGGAACAAGCCCATCGCTCTGATCGGACACTGGCTGCAACCCACTTGGGTTGAAGAATTCAAGGGGGAGGGGGGGTGGGAAAATCTCAAAGTAGGCATGTTGTTGTTTAAGGCAAATGAACAGTAAATGCATTTAGCATTAATACAGCCCAAGAGCCATGCAAATGCTTCGCAAAGCAGATGATAATTATAGCCGGTCGCTCCCTTAATTGCCAAGTGCTGCTCCAACCTGATGTATTTAAATCATTAATTATTAAATCTGCATTTTCAGGTGCAGACCAAGCCTCGGTGACAGCCCGCAGCCACATTCAGCTCGTGAAATCGCAGGTGCAAGAAGTGCGACAGCTGTGCCAGAAAGCAGAGACCAAGTTAGCCGAAGCTCAAACAGAAGAGCTCATAAAAGCTCAAGGAGAGGAATCTGCATTGCCACAGGGTATTTTAGGAAGTACAGAGGCAGGGGAGGACCCTTACCTTCGGGAGGACTGAAAAGAACTGAAGTGTCACCATAGAATATGTGAGAGTCAATCACAATTTGAAGGTCCCAGACTTTTCAGTGTGGGATAGTAGCAAACAGCTGAAATAAGCTTAAGATTCCATTTGTTTCCCCAAATGGGATGGTTTTACAAATCAAGTCAGTTCCAAGTATCTGAAAGGCCTTGATCTTGTTTGTAACGTACCATGTTTGTAATACTTATGGATTCAATTATTTAAATGTTTAACTATGCAAATGTGACAATTGCTGTCAAGGATCGCTTGTTAATTGTCTTTCTGCTGGGAGGGTCCCACTGCTCGTTTGATGTTTGTGAGAGCCAAAGAAGTGTAGTTAAAAGTCACTTTTTATCCTGTGAAGTGGATGAGGTCTGTTAGGAGGTACCTTTATTAAACTGTGCAAAGTTTCTGTTGTGGGTGTGCCCGTTTGGAGAAGAGATTAAAGAACTGTTTTCTGTTGAACTTGAAAGTTTGTAACAGAGCTGAGTCTGGGAGCTGCCTCCAATCACACTTCACTGCAATCAGGGGAAACACTTGCTGTAGGGCTGAAAACTGGAGTTACCCAGGCTGCTCGTAGTGAAGTGGTGCAGTTCAGTACAGCAACCTTGTTCACCCAAGTCGCCGCTTGTAATGCATCTGCCTTCCCCAGGAAGCAAAGAGAGATTTGATTTTCAGGATACTGTGGTTATAAACAAAGTTGTTGTGGCAACTGCTGTGTACTTACAAGGCAGTAACGAAAAGTGAGTTTTCTATATTTGAATGCTTTCCAGCACAAGTTTCAGGAAAGTAATCTTAATTCTCTCTTTTTGCAAGCTTAATGTTTCACTGCTGGCTTCAAAACCACTGGCATCTTTCAGTGTGTTCATTTTCTAACTTGACAGCTTAATGTGAAATTTGCAATATTAACTGTAGAGACAATGTAAACTTAAGCTGAGATTGCTTTGTAGAACAGCATCCACTAGAACTTCATCACTGCTGATTTGAGTCAGTTAATCCCCATTCATCAGGTTTTGTAAGAAAACACACTTTAACGATAGGTTTTCCACCACAAATTAGCATCAGATGCACTACTCCTGTGTCAAGGTTGCTGTTACTAAATTGTGCTTGACTAGGAATTTTTTTCAGCTGGAGCACAAGCCTTTCCCTCTGTGCCTGCCTTTTGGTCAAATGTAATCTCAGCTGCACAGCACTGTACGTCTGTAGATCAAATAGTAATGGAATTAACGAACTACCTTTTCTTGCTCCTGCTCCTCACTAGGTGCTGCTGTATCCAAGGAGGATGGCACTGTCTGGAATTCCAGCTCATGGGAAGGTGCTGCCAGTGTCTGCTGTGCCAGTAGTCAGGAGGTCCCGAACACAGCTTTGGGCAGGGAGCGTTAGGTAAAAAACCACTATCGTGAGGATTATTTGCAGCAGTGGCACAACCACACCCTCAAGAGCCAAATGCAACTTCAGGTCAGCCTCTAACCACAACTGCTCTAATTTGTTACGTGCTGCAGTTGAAGAACGTCTGCCAAGCCATGACCCAAATGCACATACAGGTTGTGTTCCTCTCAGGGTGCCACAATAACTCTACTCCGATGCTTGTGTGGCAGAGATACAGCTTGAGGCAGATGAGCGCTGCTACAGGAGTCTGCAAAGCAACTCGTTCCCCTTTCAGAGCCTGCTCCTGGCCCCCTTGTTGCCCCTCGTTTCACTGTGCGCCCTGCTCTACATTCCCAAGGCACAGGCTGTTCCCACCACATCCGTGACGGGAACCAACTAGTCAGTTCAGTCCAGCCCGAATGGGAGTGAGGAGCCTGAGTGGCTCCCTGTCGCCTCCAGAAAAAAAGGGGGAAGTCCCACCCCTTTATCGGGAAGTGAGAGGTGCCTGTCGGGGCTTAGCCCATACACCTAAGCCCGCAACAGACATGACATTATGCTCTACCTCATGTTACTGAGTTTGCATTTGGAATCATCTAGTGGATCAGAAAAATGCTGCCACAGCAGTTCACAGGGTACCATGGTGCCCGCTGTGTCCAGTCTCTTCTCTGGAACAAGCAGCAGTGCCCAGAGAACGGTGCCCAGGAACTCGGGTTTGCTGCTGATGCTCCGCCTTGTTTACAAAGCCAAGACACCTGAAACTACGTGTAGGCAATTCCGCAGGTACTGCTAATGAGCTAATTAATCCCCGTTAGGGCTGCAGGGAGAAGATGCAGGAGCAGCTTGCACAAGCCCACACTGAGGATGGACACGCACAGGCTCACCCCCTGGAGGAGCTATTTTTTCAGCCAAACGCCTACTCGCATCTGGCACAGAAACAGCTCGTGTGAGGTGGAAACTCCGGCCATAAGAGTCTGGGTCACGCTGTAGGGCTCAGCTCGAACTCCACCGGGTGCTTTTGAAAGCCAAGGCAGCAAGTACTGCCAGGAGTCCCTCAGCCCGAGGTCGTACAGCACTGCACCACCCTGGGGAGCCAGCCTGCCCGGAGAGCTCGTCACACCTCCGGTCTCGGGATGTCCCCAGTCTCTCCGTCTGTAGTACAAGCAAGGGCCTCCTGGAAGCACTTCCCAGGCACCTCTGAAAGCCCCAGCTCACATCTGGTGGGCAGTGAACGCTGGGCAGCTGGCCTAGAAACAGCAGTGACAACAGCAATGGCTCATTTCTGTAATGACACACTTCCTCTCTACCTGCTACCTTTTTCTAAAGCTTCCAGGCTGCTTCCTGCTCACGTGCAGCACAGCAGCTTCTGACCCAGCAGCAAGGCACCCTGAAGCTGATAATCATCGTGTGTGTCACCAAATCCTAGTTTCATATTGGGTCTTTCCTCAAATTAGCGACTCCAGTGCACTCATAGATTAATTGCTTCTGCCTCAATACACCTTTTCTGGACAGGGCAGAGAACGGCAGCTGCTCACAGCAAAGGAAGTGGCACAGGCTAAGGATAAACTCTTATCTTCTTTAGTATCAATGACTCCTTAACGCGAACGCCCAGCACCAGATCTCAGCCTTCTCTGGCTTTTCAAGCTCTTAGCTTTCAAGAGACCCAAGAATGCTCCTGTGAAAACATTTTTCAAAACTGTATTTTATTTATACCCAATATTACAACAACAAACTCAAACACCTCCCACACAACATGAAAAGCTACAGCCACTGTAACTACCACTGTGCTTATTCAAGACATGCTGCTCCTCTCAAACCCAAGCAGAACATGTTTGTGCAAAAGCTTCCAGTGCAAGTAAACTTGTCATAAACTTCTGTAAAATCCGAAGGGCTTGAGTCGGGGCCCAGCCCCTTGGATCATCGAGCCGTGTTAAGGCAATACATTTTTGAGGCATTCTTTTCCCCCCCCTACTCCACCCCCTTTCTCCTGCTGTCTGGTAGGACCTGTGGGATGGCTGGGACAGCAGAGTGATGCTGCAGTGGACCCACCGGCACACACTGGTCTCTCTTCTGCCCTTCCAGGTAATTTCAAGAGCTCTGTCACTCATTAGTCATCATCAGCTTTTCCACACCAGACTGAATCTGGCCAGCGGTCAGACACCAGCCACAGTGGTGTGGAGCCTCCATAGCGGGTGGCCCCTCACTCACGTCCCTGTGGCAGTTGTGACTTCCTCTGCCTCCAGTCCAGCTGGGAGGAACAGAGCTGAGTCCCCTGAGCCGAGCTACCGGCCCCATCCCCACCCCGTGACAATTCAGCTGCTTCAGTAACCCACCAATAGAAAAGGACTTACTGCAGCACAACCCCCTACAGCTCAAGTACAGTCTGTTAGTAGAAGACAACTTTCTACCACAACCTGATTTCTAGTTTAAAAAAGTGCCCTGTGTCTGTCACCAGTCACAGTCCTGCTGTGCTCATCAGTAGCTTCTTTTCCAACCCCTTCTGTAGTTGTGCGTTACAGACACCGCACACCTCATGCTCTCATCCTTCACCAACGTCCACATGATCCACATCTCAGTCGGGTTTAGTTTGTGCACAATCATCAGCTCTTTGTACAGGCACGGATCAAAAGGATTGAAAGGTCTCTGAATCCCGAAAGTCTTAAAGCCAGCGTGGTTCTTTGGGGTCACTGCCATCTTTGCCAGACACATTCCCACAAAGACATCATCTATGGGAAAGAGCTCCGTGTCCTCTGCGGTGCTCTGGAGGCGGCGCACTGTCTCTCTAGACATCACGTAGCCCCCTCCACCCGCATAGAGAGGATAGAAGGGGGCGCGGTACATGGCCTCGGGAATAAAGTACTTGACTTTGGTGTTCCTGATGGGCCGGGCGTTGGTGATCACATCCCCAACAAAGAGATCCTGTTCAGGGTCCAGTTCTTGGAGGAACTCAACAATGTTGTAAGTGTTGACAAAGACATCGTCATCGCCCTTCAGCACAAACCTGGCGTGCAGGCACTCCTCCATGAACCAGCGGAGGAAATGCAGCTCCTTGAGGGTCAGGTTGAAGAAGTTGTCAACAAAATCCCACTGCAGGATGTCACCAAACTCCTGGCTCTCGTAGGCCAGCAGCTGGTGCAGGGGCTGTACCCGGATTTTGGCCTCTGAGCGCCCTAGAAGGAATATGAGCCTGACATGCTTGCCACCGATGGAGACCTCCTTCCCCCACGTGTTCCTGATTGCCACCCGCCGGTCTATGTTGATTGGGGAAGACTTGATCGCCAGCAAGAGGAATGTCTCTCTGCTACGGCTTCATCAGGACCGAGAAGTCCCGGCAGTGTTTGTATGTTAAGAAGACACGGTGAAGCTCTGGGAGGGCAAGTGAAGAATTGGCAAGGGTCAAGTTCGGCAAACACTTGCTGGGTTCAGCGTTGCCCAGAACCGAAGGGTGAGTCACTACAGCCCCTTTCTGGTCCGCGGACGACGCTGCCAACTTTGCCTCTTTCCTCATGTACAGAACCCACGCCAGCAGCGTCACAGACAGAGCGTAAAGCACGAGATTTTTAATCCTGGGATACATGGCAAGCTCCGGCGCAGGACCCAGGCCCTGTGCGGGCAGAGGAAGACAGTTCGTGCGTGAACCACAACACACACACACACACACAC